ACCTCTTCTGAGTACCTGATGGGATGCTTCTCTCTCCTGTCACTGCTGTTGTTGCTGCTACACTGGCACCTCCTGGCATGGGGCCATGGGGCATGCTGACAGTAATGCTTCACTGCTGAAGGACACCCTTCATTTCTTCATTTCACATGGAAAATGTGAAAGAGGAATCTCTGGTTACATAACTGCACAAAACCACCTGCTATTCTGTCGCCCGGGTCTTAGCACCTCTACTTGCTTCAAACTCTGAAAACAGTAACATGGACATCTCTAAGCTGCCGGAAACTTACGTGGTGTTCTTCAGAGGAGTCTAAGCACTCCCTACATTGGAATTGTTTTGGAAACTGACTTAAAATGTGTATTTCTGGAGTCTGTCTCAGATTTAGTACATCAAAATCTCTGGAGGCAGGACCAAGAATCTGCGTTTTAACACATCCACCATCGTTCAAGAATTCAGGATACTCTGAGAGGAGGTCAGAGCTGATGAGCTTGTCACCGTACGTGGGTATGAAATGGACGAGCTGGTATTTTAACCCAGGACTCCTCAGCACAAGACCTACATAGATTCCACCGGGCTCCATTTCCAATTGCCAACGGCGGTCACCCGACTCCCACTAAGCCACTGCCGACGGTGTACGCACCACTCAGCGTGTTAATGAACTCAGCGTTTCCAGTGTACTTGGCTGCTGCGTGATTCCCCCCTTCCCTTCTGGCAGGAAGATTTATCAGAGTGGGGCTAGGCTACTCTTCCCCCTTAATCACTAGTAGCCTCTTTTCTTAACCCCAGCCCCTGCCTTCTCGCCCACCCTCCAGCCTTTCTCTGTCCTTAAGTGAATGAATTCCCAACAGCAAGCTTAAGATAAAAATTTAAAATGCAGAACCTTGATGACACTTTACAGATTTTAAAAAAAATTTGCACTTACTTACAAAGCTATTTCATATCTATGATATCAGAAGTGGTAATTACGATTCTGCTGATAATTCTTCCCAGATGTAATGACAGAATATGGAAGAGCTACGATTTCTTCTTCCCAGAGATTTAGAAACACAGGAGATTAAAAGACTGGGAATAGAAAAAGAGATCCACATTCAAAACCTGGACACTTAATCCAAGGGTAAGGAGCAGACCTGCATCAGTCAGTTTCACTAATACCCAGCGGCTGCCTCTTCCTCAAATGATAAAGCCCCAGGAAGCCTTCCGGCTCTACCACCTCAGCTAGTGACGCTGACTTCATTTGTCTCTTTTCATCCTACAGCTCGTCCTCCCCCAGAAAAGGCAGTCAGCATGGCAGCCGGTCCCGGTGACTCATCAGACAGATGTTTACGATGTGCCTCGTTCCAACATAACTTCCATAAAGGAGAAAACGTGTCAATACTGACCGAATTGAGGTCATATATGAGTGAGGAAAGGAGGGATGCCTCCTAACCTCGATTTCCAGCCCAGGTCTCTCTTCTGTGTTTCAGATCCACAAGTCTAACTTAGGCCTTTCCACCTGGACGTATCTCAGGTATTCAGACTCACTGTATGGGATGCTGAAACTCAGAATTTTAATTTGTGGCCTCTCCCACTTCCTTCTCCAAAGACAATTACAAAATAACCTGCTTCTCTATATTTATTCTTTCTGTCTGGTTGCCTACAGTGGAAGCTGGGGTTCTAGTCATCACGCTTTGTCGCTAGTCAATGAACCAGTCCTGTGGAAATGCTCCTGCATACTCATTGAGTCCACTGATTTCTCTCCGTGCCCACTGCCAGCACCCCGACCAGGCACCCCACCGCAACATCCCACCACCCTCACAGTAAACCTCAACTTCCAACACTGCACAGCAGGTTGGTCTCTGAAAATATCAACATGCGTTAATCCATGATCTCCTGCCTACCCGTCTTTACCTGTGAGTAAAACAGCCAGCTACTGGCTGAAAGATGGAGTACAGAGGATATAAAATTTTACAGATCTCAAACAGTAGGCCAATGCCAGATAACTTATATATTCCAACTATAATAGCAGAGTATTTTTAAAGGACAGTTAAAAAATCTGCTAGATGGCAAACAATAAAAATAATATTTATTTTAACAAGTATTTACTATGTTCCAGGTGCTGTTCTAAGAGTTCTGTGAATATTAAATTACTTAGCATGTACAATGTTTGTGTGAGGTAGTTACTCTAACTACATAAAGCCAAAATTCATACACTACACACTGTTTTTCAGATGAGGAAAATGATTCACAGAGTCAGGATCTGAGCCAGGTGGCTGGCTTCTGGCACTCAGGCTCTTGGCTACCACACTGTGCTACTTCTCCATGTGTAACCTATGCATGGGCAATTCCTAACACTGTAGCAAGTTTTACTTTCACTTAGCATGATTAACAATTATAAAATAGTATTTATGTATTTTTTTGAGATATTTTTGCTATAGGGTACATGCACTTGCCGGACAGACGGAGAGACAGGAAGCAAGAAATCATACACGCACCCCCCCCACCACCACCACCAAGGAGGGAAGGCCACGCCACAATCCCTTCTCCATTCTCCTCTCGGGATCTTGGGCATGCACACACACGTGCCCAGCATGAGTTTTAAGCTGCTGGGTCTGGGGCTCAAACTGTGGTTGACTACATGGGAGTCCAACAACATAACCATTATGCCATCTGTCGGTCTCAGTATTTATGTATTAATACCAGTCATGTAGAGTAGCTGGGCAAAGGATTTCTCATCCCTGTAGAAACTTCACATATGATAGAAGGAACGTGCTTACCAAAGACTGGTTTCCCTGTCCACAGACAGGAAACACCCAACTGAGACTGTTCCGCACCACTAACCTTATTCGAAATACTACTACAGGACGTCTTCTGCAGTAGGAGGGGTGTGTCTCCGGTGTTTGGCAACACAGACTTAACACTTCATTGCTTTTTATGTGTGAATATTTCATTTCCCCATCTCTATATCATCCACCCATCCATCAAGGATGTCACTTGACGTATGTGTTTCCACAAGAAAATAACATGAATCCCAAGGACAAGAGATCATCTTCTATTAACATATTTCTCTCTTGCTCATTTCTTCACACTAAGCACCAAGTCCCTTCAATCCCAAATTTCTCATAAGCTTAGGCTCCACAGTGTGAAGCTAACAATGATCTTCTGAGCATCAAAGCAATATAGTTTGATGTAACCCATGAAGCTGGAGAAAGCTGAACACCCACATAACGCCTAGTAAACTCCTGAAACTGTACAAATTCAAAACTCCAAGCTTTTTTCTCCATCGAATCTGCCTTCTATTTCCTCCTTCACTAGCAGAAACATTTCACCCAGAGCTTCTTTCGCCTAGTCCCCAAGCTCTAAATTCTCCAACAAAGCTTTTCCTGCTCTCACGTCTTTTTCACTTCCTCTGACCCTGACCATGTTCAGGCTACAATTTCTTCCTCTTAGACCCCTGGAGTAGTTTCCTAATAGAGTGCCCTGAATCCAATTTCTTTCTTTTAAAATTTATTTATTTCTTCCAAGAGCAAGAGAGACATAGAGATAAAAATAAGCAGCACATCCAGCAGGGTCTTTACGCTTTAATCCCCCCCGCCCCCAGCCAGCCTGAGATCACAGGCATGCAGCTCCCGTACAAAGGGAGGTCTCCAGGCTTGGAAGAGCAAAGTGTGGGACTGACTCGCAAAAAGTGGCTTTCTACTGCGGTGCCAACATCTGGCTCCTCAATTTCTTGTCAGTAGAATCCACATTCTGTATCCCCCCCTACATTTCCAAACACTGATACTTGTTCACTCACAACTTATGTAAAATAAGGTCCAAATCCCTTACATTGCATTCAAGGCTCTCTACATATTGGCCTTGATTTCCTGGCTCTCTAGCTGAGGTCAGTCTTCCAAAACCTGGGCTTGTAAGGTAAGCTCTTCACGTCTCTGTGCTGACTTTTACACATTTGTTTTACTGAATGGAATCACTAACATTGCTCTCATACACAAGGATGATTTAGCTGGAAATGCTGTCAAAGAAAAACCAGAGCCAGGTAGTAGTGCAAGTAATAAAAACAGATTTTCTATATATAGTTTGATGTAACCCATGAAGCTGGAGAAAGCTGAACACCCACATAACGCCTAGTAAACTCCTGAAACTGTACAAATTCAAAACTCCAAGCTTTTTTCTCCATCGAATCTGCCTTCTATTTCCTCCTTCACTAGCAGAAACATTTCACCCAGAGCTTCTTTCGCCTAGTCCCCAAGCTCTAAATTCTCCAACAAAGCTTTTCCTGCTCTCACGTCTTTTTCACTTCCTCTGACCCTGACCATGTTCAGGCTACAATTTCTTCCTCTTAGACCCCTGGAGTAGTTTCCTAATAGAGTGCCCTGAATCCAATTTCTTTCTTTTAAAATTTATTTATTTCTTCCAAGAGCAAGAGAGACATAGAGATAAAAATAAGCAGCACATCCAGCAGGGTCTTTACGCTTTAATCCCCCCCGCCCCCAGCCAGCCTGAGATCACAGGCATGCAGCTCCCGTACAAAGGGAGGTCTCCAGGCTTGGAAGAGCAAAGTGTGGGACTGACTCGCAAAAAGTGGCTTTCTACTGCGGTGCCAACATCTGGCTCCTCAATTTCTTGTCAGTAGAATCCACATTCTGTATCCCCCCCTACATTTCCAAACACTGATACTTGTTCACTCACAACTTATGTAAAATAAGGTCCAAATCCCTTACATTGCATTCAAGGCTCTCTACATATTGGCCTTGATTTCCTGGCTCTCTAGCTGAGGTCAGTCTTCCAAAACCTGGGCTTGTAAGGTAAGCTCTTCACGTCTCTGTGCTGACTTTTACACATTTGTTTTACTGAATGGAATCACTAACATTGCTCTCATACACAAGGATGATTTAGCTGGAAATGCTGTCAAAGAAAAACCAGAGCCAGGTAGTAGTGCAAGTAATAAAAACAGATTTTCTATAGGAAGTACTGCAGTAGGAGAGCGAAACCTCAGTGTACAGGCAGGCTCAGTTCTGCATACTGCATGAAGAGGAGACTTAGAGCCAAGGAGCAGGGAGCAGGTCACCTGGACAGAAACTTCCAGGAGGAAGTGGGGCAGGCGGAGATTCAGGTTAGAGACCTAGCAAGATTCTTGCGAGGGCGGGAGGAACCAGGGTGGCACCAGGGTGGCGGTGAGGAATCTGATCCGATTCAGGGCGTTATCAAACGCCAAGTGGGGAGGTTCTCTAACCTGACTTTGCGAGACTTGCTGCAACTGGGAGATGCAGGCTCCGTGAGGTCGGAAGCGAAGGTTGAGCCTCGCTGGAGGAAGGCGGAGGTGGGCCTGCCCCGAGTTCGGCCAAGGCCATCTCGACGAGGTCGGTCACGCTCGGGCGTGCGTCTTAGAGCCACCGCTAAGGACAGGGAGCCGAGGCCATGAGAGCGGTCACCTCGGGGCAGGGCAGAGAGAGCCCACGGGGCAACGCTGGGTTTCGGCCCGGGGTGTGGGAATCCCGACTTGCTTCCGAAACCCCACAGTTCCATGGGACCTGAGGGGATACAAACACGACCCCCCAAAAAGCCTGTATTTTGCTACTAGTGGCCTCAGTCTTATCATAGAACTGCCTCAGAACAGTCTGGAAGAGAAACCGGAAACATGCTAAGCGGCCACGCCCACGCCCGGAGACACAGCCCTACGGAAACCCGGGCAGACACCGCCTCACGTCTCGCGAGACAGCGGGCGCCTCCTCGGGCCTCTCGCGAGAGCGCTGGCTTCCGCGTCCCGCCGCCCGCCGCGGCGTCGTCTCCCGGGCCACGGCAATGGCGGGGGGGGGGGG